TCCTGCTGTAGATAACAGAAATGCCTTTTACCAGTCTCTGCCCCAGACACATGGCTAAGCATCCTTCACCCACTAACCATCCCTTATCCCTCTGAGCATCCCTCAAAACATCCATCCCACTGACCATCCCTCCAACTGCCCCTCACCACTTTGTCACTAACTTGTCCCTGACAGGACCCAGAGCACTATCCCAAAGATGCCTATGGCCAAGGCACTCCTGTCTCTGTCCTGGATGCTAGGAAAAAAAATGATCTCTTACCTATCAAAGTGTTCAGTAAGTTTCATCTTAACTCCCATGTGAAGCTGAAATTCACAAGCAGTTTGAGTTGAAAGTTTTATGATATATAAATCTCCATTCTGGGAGTGTTCCAGGCCAGGCTGGACAGGGCTTGGAGCACCCTGGGCTAGGGGAAGGTGTCCCTGCCCATGGCAGGAGGGGGATGAGCTGATCTTCAAGGGCTCTTCCAACCCAAACCATTCTGGGGTTCTATGAATACATACTAGAGACCAATTTATGAAACATAATTGGACAAACTCCATTGGCTAAAATGTAAATACACTTTTTAGGAAGAAAATAAGCTTTAAAGTAATGGGTTCTACATCTCCCCACAACTCTGCCATGCTGGTTGTTCACTGTGTTGCCATCACCATGCTCAAACTCTGCACCTCCTCTGTGGGAAGAATGCTCCTCACCCCAACAGGAATGGCATTTGCAGGTTTCTCTTCCATATCTTATTTATTAGCACCTGCATTATAACCAGAACACACATTGTGTTCAAACCTACTTGGCAATTTGCCTAGGAACTAGACATTCCCTCAAAGGACATGTGTGGGGGGTGAGGCTGCACAACCTTCTTCCACCTTCAGAATCAGCTTTTACAGGGAATGGGAATGGGCACGGGCACTACAGCTCTTCCCAAGCACTGGTGATTATGGCTCCAAGAACTGCCTTCATTCCACACCCAGAGCACAAATTGCCTTCCATCTGGAATTGAAATTGTGTGGGTTTAGTACAAACTAGAGTTGGTTCATGAGTCTTTTGTGGCACTCAAAAGTCTTAATGCTGAGTCTACTGGATTCAGACTGAGTTTAGATAAGAAATCCTTCCCTGGGAGGTGCTGAGGCAGTGGCACAGGTTGCCCAGAGAAGCTGTGGCTGCTCCATCCCTGGGAGTGTTCCAGACCAGGTTGGACAGGGCTTGGAGCAACCTGGGCCAGTGGAGGATGTCCCTGCCCATGGCAAGGGGTGGGACAAGATGATCTCTAAGGTCCTTCCAACCCAAACCATTCTATGATTCTAAAATATGCCATCCAAAAATATCAGAGATACTAATTTGGGTTAAATAACATTCCTGTAACATTTGTGCCTGCACTAATGACCTGCACAGAACTGAACTTCATCTCCCTTGTAAAGGACAACCACCTGCAAGCCACAAGCTGCAGGGATAAACCCAGCTGAGCATGTTCACAGTAGCTGGTCCAAGCATAACCAACCTGCCACTCTGCTCACTCCCTCGAGTCTGGCTGAGCCCCAGAGCTCAGGGGCAAGTCCCCACACATCACAGAAAGCAAGAAACATCTTCAGTTGAGCCCAGAGCTCAAGCACCAGACAATGTCTTAGTGCTGAACAGCTGAAACTGTACTTGGGGGTGAAACTGGACAGAGCTAAGCTGCTAAAGAGGAAAAGGAGTAATGGGAAAATTCACTGCCAAAGAGCTGAAGATGTCACAGGCACAGTGAGGGGACTAAAGAAGATAAGGATACCAGAGACAGACCACAAGAAGATGACTGAAGATGTGGCATGTCTATGCCATCAAACAGCTGACCATGCACTTCATCCAAGAGTGAACTTGCAGAGGAGTTTGATTTGGATTACTGGAATCTACTTGGCAAGACAACCCAAATTACTGCTAAGCCCAGTGAGTGCCACTAGACCAGGCTGGATGGGGCTTGGAGCAACCTGGTCTGGTGGGAGGAGTCTCTGCCCATGGCACAGGGTGAGATGAGGTGAATTTTAAGATTCCTTCCAGCCAAACCATTCTGTGACATGGAGATGTAATTAGGGAATGTAAATAAGGAACAGCAATCACTCCATGGAACAGCAGGCAAACAAGAGGGTTCAGAAGTGTCACACATGAGTTCTGGATGCTCTTCTCAGGTTTGGAAACTGGTGCCAGATTCCAGAAGATGAGCAGCAAGTGTGCTAGGACTAGGCAGGGGGAAGTGCTCTGAGGTAGCTGTGAGGAAGAATGACTCACCCTACTTAATGTCTCAAGGAAACAGGGTCTGCAACACCCATTTTCAAATTGGCTTCTGCTGCTGTCATTGCTTTGTGCTGTGAAATTCCAAGGTAATTTCCAATTGAGCAGAGTTATAGCTGCAGAAGGTACCTCAGTGAGGCTAACCACAAGCATCACAAACCCAAAATCAATTAGGCTGTTTCACTGATGAAGACAGCAGGGCCACTCTGCAACATGCAGAGAGAGCAACACGCTGGGGGAGGTCTGTGGGAAACCCTCCTTACTGAGACACTGCCTGGCAAGGGGTGTGAGCCTAAGAAATCTAAGACACTCCATGAAAATGGAAACTGGAGTCATTAGAAGGAAAAATAAAGTCTAAGCATCCCTTATGGCACAGCTGTTTTGTGCTAATGGGAGGTGACCTCCTCGAGGCAAGAAGCATCTGCTGTCACTTCCCTCTCCTCCTTCAAGTGGGGATGAAACAGCTAAACTAGGACCAGTAAATGAAATCACTCTCAATTCTAAATGGATTTCACAGCCTCAGACAGGATCCTTCAGTCAGAATTCCTTGGAGCATCTGTTCAGGACTCACTTGGCTAAGGGAATAAACCTTCCAAGGACTTACCAAGACAAGGCAGGACAGCAGAGGATGTTTTACAGGCTGAAAAGCATTAGCTATTAGACTGGATCCTGTGGTTTCTATCCTGTCCCAAAGCTCAGAGAGGAAATAATACTTCAATAATATATTTAATCTATTTTTAATAATTTGATGTATTTCCTTTCTTCTCTGAATGAAGCCAAGATTAAAGGCATCCTGAGCAGAAGCCAAGCTAAAAAGTACTGGAAACTGCTGCCTTTGAAAGGCCTGAGAGTCTGTGAAGCATTTTGGTTTTATGATCCTTCATGGAGCAAAAGGGATTGGAATTCAGCTTCTGGCTGGAAGTGTATTGATCCACAGTAATGTACCTCTTAGAAGACTGTTCAAATCCAGTTTGAACACTGCTTTCCATCCTCATCCCTTCCCTCTATTTGCAGGAGCACTGAAGCCTTTGAAAGGCATGTTAGGAGAGAGAAAATGAGACTTGTCCTGCACTGCACTTGGAAGAGGTTTTGTCACTGACATGCAGGTCATGATTCCAACTACTTTTAGCTCTTACAACGTCAGGCTTGAAAAAAAAACCCAAACCCAAACAAGAAAACAACCCCCTAAATGTATCTAAAATAAGCAATTCCAAAGTGGTTTCCAGAGACCTCTGGAATGACAGCTCAGAATGAGAAGCTGACAATGCTTACAGGTTCAAAAGCCATGAAGAAAAGCAGATGGAAATGTAAGCTATATACATGCACAAAGAGCTTACCTGAAGTAGAATTAAGTTACTCCTCAAGACTGAGCTACATGGCCAAACCACATGGACATCCAGCTTAGCTACAGAGCTCACAGGGGAAAACTAGATCCCAAGCACCAAGATTATCACTAACTCCTTTTTGACAGAGAAGAACCTTTATGTCTCCAAGAGAGATGTACCAAGCCAGTTTTTCTTCATTTCTGCCACTTCCTTCTAACAGAAGCACCTTTAGGAACTCCTGGAGGACATGATTTCCACCCTCCCAACTTTATATCAAGCAATATGGAGCTGAAACCAGAATCCTACCTACAGTTAGAGCAGGTCAGATTAAAAGAGGAGGTTAAAAGGGTAGGGGAGAGCAGGAGGCCAAGCTTGCAGAGCGAAATCATAATTAAAACCAGTCACCTATCTATGGAAATCATTAGGCATCTTTCCTGGGAGGGTCATAGATATACCAGTGTTGGAGAAAGGGAAAGAAACAGTCATGGAGTTAGTCAATACTGATAACTCAGGAGCTACTGCTGCTGAATTTTGCTCCAATTTCCACCTGAGCAGTTCCCATCCCTGAGCATCAAATCAGCTGCTGATGCAGATTTAAATTGGTGTTTAGCAAGTTTCATCCTTGACTAGTTTTTGTGTTCACCTGAAGACAAGGCTCAGGAACTTTGCTCTATTTTGGTTTCAGCTCTAAAGTCACCACCATACAATTAGGATGAAGTCCTTAAAGCCCTTCACACAGTTGTGAGGGACAAGTAATCTCAGTGAGTGTAAAGGGCAGGTGATCCTATCTGAGAGGTGTGCCAAGACCCAAAGTGGTGGATCTGTCCTGCACACACAGCCCCAGAGGCTCTGCCAAGTGTGGCTGTGTCTCCTACAGATGAGTAGTAGAATCCTCCACTGTTGTCCTAGAAATAATAGAGGAGTATTTTAAAAACCAACCAAACCCCACACGCAGAGCAGTGTTAAGTGGTTTGTCACAGCCCTCTATTAGGGCTCAGGGAATTTAAACATTGTATTCTAAAAATGCAATGGGAGATGTGGATACTTAATTTAACTCTAAGTTTTAACTACCACATCTTAAAAGGCTTTGAAGTACTTCCATTTTAGATCTACTGTAACCACCTACTCAACCCAATCTG